TTTCTTGTCACCAGTTATCTTGCAACACTGGCCACAAAATATCTGCTTCCAGGCAAAAAGATGCAGCAGAGTCGTCAAATAACTTCTAGGTTCCACAATAGCTAGCAAGAAGTTTAGACCACCTCAGGCTGTTCGAAGTGTCGTATGTTTTAGTGGGTATGATGCACTTGCTTTTCACTCCACGGTTCCAACACTGCTGGCACACTTTCTAACTTTTTTGCCAAGGGGCACTTTTAACGGTACCATGAGCCTATGGTCAGTCGAAAAATAGGCCTAGGGAGGAAGTCAGAGATTAACAAGGGGTGTCTGGTGTGAGAGTGCGTGTGGTGGAGTAAGTGTAAGTACAGGGAGACACGTGGTATAGGCGGAACACTCACTGGAGTATAGCCACCCTCGACAACACCTGCCACAAGTTGTACTGAACTCTCAACAGGAGGCGACTGGCATATATTTCTGTTGCACGCTCGCTGGTGTTGCCATCTCGCGCTCCTCACTCTCACTCTCTCATCCCAATAACTCCCTCTGATCTTCCTCTCTCAAACCGACTTCAAACTCTGATCTATAGACTCTTGCACACCATTTTCAAGGTCGAACTTTACTCCCAAAATAAAGTTTATAGTTGTTTAAGCAGTTTGAATGTTTACAGCAAAGTCGGTACGTAGCTGCAAGTGCAGGGCTGCCAACCGCACAACCAAAAACTTGTCCAGTGGTAACTTTATCACTTGATCTTAAGCTTAATATATCATTGCTAAATACCACCAAGATGGCACTTCATGGGTCAAAATCAAAATATAATCACGTTTTAACACAAATTTCGACGAACTGTGCCAGCCTATGCATTCTAGCAGCTGGGATGAAGAAGAGTGTCAGGATGGTAGACCTGTTTAACAATACGTGGACGTCAGAGATAACAGTAACCGTTGAAATTAATTATCTTTCAGACTAATCATTCTTCATTAACGTATTCGTGTTCACTATCAAACTAGCCAATTATATTTTCTCCCGTCCAGTTAACCGCGAAAAAAATAAATGAGAATCGACAGCTATAATTAACATTTTACTGAACATTATTTTACGCATTTACATTGATTTCTCCTATCCTAATACAAGTTTTGTTTAGATACAGTTGAAAATCTTGTCTCCGTAAACCAGGAGGGTACCGGCGAATAACAATAAAAAAAACTGGGTATACAGCCTCAGTAAACCAGTGGATGCTATGCTTAATCCTGGGTATACAACCTCAGTAAGCCAGTGGATGTTTAACCCTGGGTATACAGCCTCAGTGAGCTAGTGGATGTTTAACCCTGGGTATACAGCCTCAGTAAGCCAGTGGATGTTTAACCCTGGGTATACAGCCTCAGTACGCCAGTGGATGTTTAACCCTGGGTATACAGCCTCAGTGAGCTAGTGGATGTTTAACCCTGGGTATACAGCCTCAGTAAGCCAGTGGATGTTTAACCCTGGGTATACAGCCTCAGTACGCCAGTGGATGCTTAACCCTGGGTATACAGCCTTAGTGAGCCAGTGGATGCTTAACCCTGGGTATACAGCCTCAGTACGCCAGTGGATGCTTAACCCTGGGTATACAGCCTCAGTACGCCAGTGGATGCTTAACCCTGGGTATACAGCCTCAGTACGCCAGTGGATGCTTAACCCTGGGTATACAGCCTCAGTAAGCCAGTGGATGCTTAACCCTGGGTATACAGCCTCAGTGAGCCAGTGGATGCTTAACCCTGGGTATACAGCCTCAGTACGCCAGTGGATGCTTAACCCTGGGTATACAGCCTCAGTAAGCCAGTGGATGCTTAACCCTGGGTATACAGCCTTAGTGAGCCAGTGGATGTTTAACCCTGGGTATACAGCCTCAGTAAGTCAGTTGATGTTTAACCCTGGGTATACAACCTCAGTAAGCCAGTGGATGTTTAACCCTGGGTATACAGCCTCAGTAAGTCAGTTGATGTTTAACCCTGGGTATACAGCCTCAGTAAGCCAGTGGATGCTTAACCCTGGGTATACAGCCTTAGTGAGCCAGTGGATGTTTAACCCTGGGTATACAGCCTCAGTAAGTCAGTTGATGTTTAACCCTGGGTATACAACCTCAGTAAGCCAGTGGATGTTTAACCCTGGGTATACAGCCTCAATACGCCAGTGGATGTTTAACCCTGGGTATACAGCCTCAGTAAGTCAGTTGATGTTTAACCCTGGGTATACAACCTCAGTAAGCCAGTGGATGTTTAACCCTGGGTATACAGCCTCAATACGCCAGTGGATGCTTAACCCTGGGTATACAGCCTCAGTGAGCCAGTGGATGTTTAACCCTGGGTATACAGCCTCAGTGAGCCAGTGGATGTTTAACCCTGGGTATACAGCCTCAGTGAGCCAGTGGATGTTTAACCCTGGGTATACAGCCTCAGTACGCCAGTGGATGCTTAACCCTGGGTATACAGCTCAGTACGCCAGTGGATGCTTAACCCTGGGTAAACAGCCTCAGTAAGCCAGTGGATGCTTAACCCTGGGTATACAGCCTCAGTAAGCCAGTGGATGCTTAGGCCTGGGTATACAGCCTTAGTGAGCCAATGGATGTTTAACCCTGGGTATATAGCCTCAGTACGCCAGTGGATGCTTAACCCTGGGTAAACAGCCTCAGTAAGCCAGTGGATGTTTAACCCTGGGTAAACAGCCTCAGTAAGCCAGTGGATGCTTAACCCTGGGTAAACAGCCTCAGTAAGCCAGTGGATGTTTAACCCTGGGTATACAGCCTCAGTAAGCCAGTGGATGCTTAACCCTGGGTATACAGCCTCAGTAAGCAAGTGGATGTTTAACCCTGGGTATACAGCCTCAGTAAGTCAGTTGATGTTTAACCCTGGGTATACAACCTCAGTAAGCCAGTGGATGTTTAACCCTGGGTATACAGCCTCAATACGCCAGTGGATGCTTAACCCTGGGTATACAGCCTCAGTGAGCCAGTGGATGTTTAACCCTGGGTATACAGCCTCAGTGAGCCAGTGGATGTTTAACCCTGGGTATACAGCCTCATGAGCCAGTGGAAAGTTTAACCCTGGGTATACAGCCTCAGTATGCCAGTGGATGCTTAACCCTGGGTATACAGCCTCAGTGAGCCAGTGGATGCTTAACCCTGGGTATACAGCCTCAGTACGCCAGTGGATGCTTAACCCTGGGTAAACAGCCTCAGTAAGCCAGTGGATGCTTAACCCTGGGTATACAGCCTCAGTAAGCCAGTGGATGCTTAGGCCTGGGTATACAGCCTTAGTGAGCCAATGGATGTTTAACCCTGGGTATATAGCCTCAGTACGCCAGTGGATGCTTAACCCTGGGTATACAGCCTCAGTGAGCCAGTGGATGCTTAACCCTGGGTAAACAGCCTCAGTAAGCCAGTGGATGTTTAACCCTGGGTAAACAGCCTCAGTAAGCCAGTGGATGCTTAACCCTGGGTAAACAGCCTCAGTAAGCCAGTGGATGTTTAACCCTGGGTATACAGCCTCAGTAAGCCAGTGGATGCTTAACCCTGGGTATACAGCCTCAGTAAGCAAGTGGATGTTTAACCCTGGGTATACAGCCTCAGTAAGCCAGTGGATGTTTAACCCTGGGTATACAGCCTCAGTAAGCCAGTGGATGTTTAACCCTGGGTATACAGCCTCAGTAAGCCAGTGAATGCTTAACCCTGGGTATACAGCTGCAGTAAGCGAGTGGTTGCTTAACCTTGGGTATACTTAAGCTTTGCATGTGACGTCACGGATTACCTGTCGGCCATACTGGACGTGACGCTACAGTGACAGCCACGTACACATATTGGACGTGACGCTACGCTGACAGCCACGTACACATATTAGACGTGAAGTTACACTGACAGCTACGTACACATACTGGACGTGAAGTTACACTGACAGCCACGTACACATACTGGACGCGAAGCTACACTGACAGCCACGTACACATATTGGACGTGAAGTTACACTGACAGCCACGTACACATACTGGACGTGAAGTTACACTGACAGCCACGTATACATACTGGACGTGAAACTACACTGACAGCCACGCACACATACTGGACGTGAAGTTGCACTGACAGCTACGTACACATACTGGACATGAAGTTACACTGACAGCAACGTACACATACTGGGCGTGAAGCTACACTGACAGCCACATACACATAGTGGACGTGAAGTTACACTGACAGCCACGTACACATACTGAACGTGAAGTTACATTGATAGCCACGTACACATACTGGACGTGAACCTACACTGACAGCCACGTACACATGCTGGACGTGAAGTTACACTGACAGCCACGTACACATAAGACGAAAAGATGAATCAGACATTCTACAGATTCCCAAAGGTTTTGAAAAATGAAAATGAAAGATTTTGAAATACCAAAACCAAGGATTTCGAGAAACGAAAATTATTTTGAAAGACGAGAACGAAGGAATTTACAAGACCAAAAAAACAAAAAAAGTATTTTGAAATGCGTCAAGTGTGGCTTCCTAACGTGAGGTGGGGAGCCACCACTAACATTACCAGGTGCTATGATGCTGATGGAGGTTTACTGTACGATCCAAGGTTTTTGGAGCTACTTCCTTTCCTCGAACTGAACTTGGTTATCTCCCATTCCCCAGGTACTGCACGGAGTCACGTCCAGCATCGTGACTGCAGAACTTCAGTACTGCACTGAACGTGTCATATTGTGACGAAGATATGATTGCCAGGTGGCACTTTCCTGTTTTCTGATAAGGAAACATCAGCAGGCTTTATTGTCAATAATTTTTTGTTGATATATATTTAATATTGTTAAGGCTTACGCTAACTCTCTTTCACACACACACATCAAAGAAAATACAACGGCAACAAGAGCCAACAATCTGCCAAACAACTTCAGCAGCGAAACACATGATAAACATTGCCAACAATCATCCTCAAGTTTTTACTGATGAGAAACACTATTTTTCAGCAAGAGGTTTTTCTAACGTGATCCCCGAAGAAGAGTTTAAGATGTTAGAATCTAAGCAAAACTGGTTTTCATGCCAACATGTTTCTCTCTAAGAACAAGGCAAATAGCTCTAGAATATACCAAGTGACAGCATAACAAGCCAACAGTGTCAGAAGAACTTATTCACTCTGCTGTTGTGTCAGCAGAAACTAGAAGTATCCGGGTCGCTGCACCATCTGAAAAAAAGTAACCCTCATATCTTATAAGCCCAGCCACGTCTACCTCAACTTACTTTTAAGTAGAATACGTCAATGTTGAAAGTTTGAAGCCGATCAGAAGAATCATTCTAAGTTATCGAACGGAAACGAATTCCAGGAATGGTTTAGTTAATATTTAGAGGAAGGCGCCTGTGCATGCCAATAGTTCTATGAACTTTTTCCTTAATTACAGTACACCAGCGCTGAAAATTTAACGCCACTTGGA